GGTGGCATGAATTCGAATGAGACGTTTCTCTATTTTATCTCATATTCTCCTTTTACCCTTTCGCATTCGTCGCTTGCATTCACTTTTTATGTTTGTGACCAGTATCAGTTTCTGATCGGGGGGGGGGGGAGGGGGGAAGTACTCCGATGACTAGCAAACATGTTTGCTGTAGCGCAGTTAGTGGTCACCCAATCAAGATAGGGGGTAGTTGCAAGCATATGGGGATTCAAATGAACGACTGAGCAGGATTTCACAGTAAAACATTGGTGATTCGATACAAGAACTGGAAATGTTTGGAATACGAATCCCAGATGAACACTTTGAGGCACAAATCCAGAAGAATTATTTTTGGGCAGTAATACAGGCTTCTCATCCAGTCAAACACAGCCTTTGGTTAAGTAATAACAATAGTTTTATAATACGAACAAGGAAATATGAATAATGTGATGACAACTCAGACCAGTTTTACACAGCGCGGGATAGTAACCGTGCAGCCATGTAGTATATGCAAATACGCGCTGGATGCAGCGCTACGGATCGTTGCACGAATTCTGACTAACGGAGGAGACAATCTTAACCCAAAGTTAGGTTCTTCAAAACGATGTATTTAGCTGCAGTGATACGTGAAGTTACCACAACATCAGGCTCGAAAACTTGTTACTCAGCGGGTGCGGACAGAAAATATTTCCAGGTTAATCTGGCTTCAGGCACCAAACTTCTCCGATAAATCAAAAATCCCTAAGAAATGCGTGAATATCAGACCTCAGTACTAAATAATCCCTTAACCGAGGTGACAACTACCTGTCGCTAAAAAGAGGCAAATCGATTGGAGCCCCAAAAAGAAATCCTCAAAAGGCGCCCTCTTTGACCGGGTCCCGCTGAGCCTACCTTATTATTAAATTGAAGTATAACAGTTAATTTGCACACTTTGCAGTTAGAAAACTGGTACTATTGAGCCAAGAAATGCGTGAATGTCTGTATATGTGTTGCTTGTTAGATTTTACTGCCATTATGAGTGTACGACCTACGAATTTCTGTACGCTGTGTTTAAGCACAAAATCTTTTACCAATTTCAAAGGAGCAAAATGTATGCAAATCTATGAAACTACGTAAAAACCCACAGCTACCACAAACCACCCAGTAGCTATATAATTATCTGTCGCCGTGTATTTCGTGCCCGAGGAAACGAAGAACATCCCGTTTATTTTGTGTCTGCAAGCAATCTTTCAGATCTGGTCAGACAATGGTTAGAACGTTGAGTAGTAAAACAGTTATCATCAGTGTGAGAAACACTTGTAGATACGCCACTTCGGTCAGTAGTTATCAATAATCTTTTTACCAATGAATGAATAGCTAAGCGAGTGATGATGAAATCTGGAGAACCTCTGTGACATGGAGATTTCGTCCTGTGAGTGAAGTCAGTCTATGCTGAAAAGCCGAGAAGCACTGAACAGCTGTTCCATCCTTATTGGGAATCATCGGCAGTGCGCATCTCACGAAACTCCGAAGAGTCTCGAACCCGTGACCTCCCGACTAGTAGTTTGAACACCGTTTGGCCACGAGCAGCTGACCAGCAGTGTGGTTAATTCGAACTTAGACAGGATGCAGCGTCGCTCAAACTTCACTCTCGGGATCCACATCAGGCGGTCACACTGGCTCCTTGAGCAACGACTTCTCAGATGGATGTTTCACCGACAGACCATAGGCTTTGCCGAAGATTGGATTGTAGTATCTTTACCATGAAAAGAGTGCTGCGTGATTCAGTAAAGTGTGCGGACAAAAAGGCCTAGGAACTTACGTTGCGTGCACTGTTTGGAGGACGGCTCGTGCAATGGAATGTGTAAGTGTGAGACGCTGGCAGACTGAGATGCTTGGTTTGAGGTATTCTATGCAGGAATGAGTTAACTTTCGTATGCTTCCTTACTGAGATGATGCGGCATCTATAAGTAGAGTGAGATTGTTTAAGTTGTCTGGGAAACCGTTTAGTTACCAATGATTCCCAACTGAACTTTCCGAAATACACTGGTCATCATTCAAAATGCAACAAACAAGTTGAATCTACGGTGGAACCTCGGATAGCTTACCTGTCGTTGATTCGTTTTTGCATGATGTGAGGGACTCGTATGCACAATGTCATTTCCTGGACAGTCTTCATCTTTGGCCAACGCAGCCGTTGTGGCTGTTCTGATGTGTTGAAATAGTGTAGTAATCTTAAGAAAAAAGGATCCAATTAAACAGCACACACCTTTTTGTGTGTCCAACCAGAGACTCACGTGAATCAGTTCACAACTGGTCCTGTAAAATTTATGCTTCCAGTATTCATTGTGGCAAAGACCTCGAGAATTTGAGTCGCCCTTTTGCTCTGTAGAAGGACTACAGGGCTTCTGGATTCTGTGTGGACCATTCTATTTGACTGTTGGTCCATTAGAAATATGACTATTTATCTGGTTAGTGATATTCATGTTGAGAGCAGCGAGGGTTCTAGGTCTGACTTTAAAGATCAACATAACCGTCTGATTTTGTGATCACCATCTGACCATATTCAAAAATCTTGCCCTATCCAATCGATAGCTGACAATCACCACTGCATGAACAGTTAGTACTTCAATAAGTCACATTTTACATAGATTAATTGCCATTTCATCGACCGGTACGTAAAACGGTGTTTTTCTATGAACGAGTATATCTTACTTTGAATTCTCAGTCATCATGGAAGATACAAGGAAGTCTGGTTGGCGTGGATGGTATAAGAATACACCTAAATATGTGGGGGTAAGTGAAATTGAGGAAAATCTTGCTCAGATTTGTCTACATATTTTTACTTTACCTTTATGCCTTTGTAACCTTTGTAGTCAACCCCTGTAAATGATGTCATTATTGTATTCTATATATTCCTGGTTTTAAAAAAATCGCAATATTTCGTACAGAAACATTAGAAAGAGCGTTGAACAAACATCATTTGAATTTTCTAAAACGCTTACAAGCACGGATACTTTATTTGCGTGGTCCCCGTATCTTTTGTGCCTGCCTCCATGATGTTTGACGCAAAGTGTGCCGTTATATCCTAATGATGACGGTGTTCTGTCATTGGGGAAAAGTGGATTAAATGTTCCGTTAAAGCTCAACTTGTAGTCCCATGGAAAGCAGCCGTTCTTTCAAAAATGCGAGCAAATTATACACCACATACTGTTTCACCAAGCTTTTAGGACTCACAAGCACTAAATAACATGACGTTTTGCGCATTTCTTATACTAACCCGCGGGATTTGAACTTCCGTTAGATGTTTCTATTTTTAATCGCTATTTCGGTAGCGCACGATGGACACGCCCAAAATATTGAGATCGTGAGTCAAGGAGTTTCTTTACTTTTAGTAGGCACAAGGATGTGGACTGCATATCTCTACAAAATGTGTATGTTTAGCCTGCCTCTTATCTGGAGTAAGTTTTTTCGTTCTACTACCGCTCTACGACCGACTGCTTGCCGAAGAGCAGTCCAATGCATGCATATTTTGTATTATAACTAGTGTAACTCAAGTTTCTGTACGCCCTCTGGATGTGCAGCTTAACTGAATATCGTGGTTTGACTAAATCGTAGTACGCAAGTGTTTTTTGCTAGTTTTTTAATTTTTGAATGTTGCTTCCTTTCCTGTGGAACAAAGTCGCTCGGCCGAGGCTTTTTCTCATATGACGCCGATCCTCGTTTCCTAAATGCCATCCATATCGCTCTACTGAGTGTGTGTGCTACAGCATTCTCGAATTTATCTGTCTCCGAATCACGCTACCTGAATTTTTTAACTATGTCATTGACTCCGTTCACCTCTATAGCGGAAGGCATATACTAGTGAGGTTCTGCGGCGAATGCATTTGTTTGTTGCTGAGGTAGTCGATGGAGTGTGGTACAAATGTTACACATTCTAACTGAAGTAAATGAGCAACCAAATGGACAGTTTTGGTCGCAGCAACATGGAACACTAAGGCAAAACCATCTACTCAGTTAACTAAAGAAACGGGTCAAAAATAAATCTTTGAACAAATGGTTCCATCATAACACAATTGTAGTGACAGTGAAGCCAGTATATGCACCCTCGCTACTTAGAATCTCAATACAGTTGTGAAAGCTAGCGGCATGTTTTGGAGAATTTAGAATTCGCATTGTGGCGAAGGCAGTGTGCACATGGTGAAAGATTCTAGACCATGAGCATTTCATTTTATTCTGTTATATAGAGCAACCAGAGGAACAAACCAACGATGTTGTTTTTTGACATGTTTTATACACTGGCTGAACAAGCTTACTTTAATACTCGCTACTCATTCAAATGACAGCACTTCCTTAAACGATGAAAAGAGAAACGTACTAGCTAGCTTTGGTCATACCGTTCCTTGTGGGTGTTCCCGAAAGTACTTGGATGAACTGATTTATGCACGGCATTTGTTGCGTGCCTCCCAACGATATGATCGCAACTAAAATATCTATCCAGATGACTAGATGGGAAATGGCGCAAGAATGTGGAATGTGATGAAGCTGTTTTTTCCTTCACATCACAGAATCGGAAAATGTAGGTATTTGGCTTGTCAGGAAATCAGTAGTCCTCAATGATTAGTCCTCTGTCTAAACAACCAGTTCACCTTTATAACCCGCAACCCACTCCCATGTGAATGTTAGTGACGAAAGTTATGTGTATATGCTTTTGTTTAGTGCTTCGTCCACCCGAAGTATTCCACACAAGGTCATTATGCTGAAAAACGGTCTTCTCCGAACAGATCGCTGAGTTGCGATCGATAGTCCCTCAGAAGTTGATCGGCAGCTGGTCGTATATTTAATCGTTTTGGAAATACGATTTCTAAAGCTGAAATTTGTCTTTTCATTACATGTAATAGAATTTTATGAGAAGAATGCACAAAAGATTCAGTAGTCTACTAAACTCCCCTATCTAATTACTCCGCATTTATGTTTATATACTGCTTACTTCACACCCTATATATGCATGTTTTTTGTCACAGTGGCGTCCACAGAGTCGTGCCGGTACGGGGCATTTAGTCTACAGTGTCTGTGATACGCCGAAGCTCAAAGTGACCCAAAAAGCCTCGAATAAGAGCGCTCTTAATTTCCAGAATTCGGCGACCGGCGAAACGGCTCTTCCAGATACTGGTGAAACCCGACATGAAAACTGGCTCTTTAGTCCAATGTTTGATTTTGAGGAAACCTTGAGCATTCACGTTGGCATTGTCTTTCAAAACCAACACTGCGGTGTGGGTCCAGATTTTGAGAATGGACACGGGATGCTCTGCCATGAAAGCATCGACTTGATGGTGCAGTATTCGACAAAATCCCAAAACGGAGAAAGCCAGAACGTGAGTCATTTGTCAAGCACTACCCTTTATTGTCACGTTGGCAATGGTTCTCAGGATATTTTGAGACAACTCGTTCATAATGATTTGCTGTTAGATGATTACGGTATTCATCCGCATGTCAATTTTCACGAGCAACTGGGATTTGTGACTCCGCCATTTTTTGGTTGTTAAGAACAGACTTTCACGTTTCTAAATATAAACGTAGTTGAGCTTTTCCTGATCTAAAATACTCCCTATTTTGGTAACCCATGTGAGTGCGCACCGCCCAGGACGTGTTTCTTTATAGTTCCTTCTCAACTGCTCTGTAAACAGGAGTTCCCAGGCTGAGTTCCTGGTTTTCCCACGACAAACAAATTACTGGTAATGTTAACCTGCCCCATGAACTGGCATTTATTTTGCTGTTAGAAGGCCTAAGAGCGCATACTTACATGTTTGGAAATAGATTCGAATCGGCTCTGGTAACTGCAAAGCACCGGTATTTTAAAATTACTTTCAAAATAAGTGAGAACTATACAAATGACTTGAAGCAAATGTTGTGCGCGTCCTGATCATGTGAAAATATCTATTTTTTTCGCGATTTTCTAAATAGGTACATAATTCTGAGTAAGATGACTTTCTTGGATAGCGCCATTTAAAAATTTTATTGGCTATTCTGCCTACAGTCTAATCGTTACGATATCTTCTCATTTGATAGATAACTCAATTAGGAAGAATTCGACCATATTATCTCGATTGAACATCCTTGGTTCCAACTCTGCCTTCGTTAACTTTGGATCACTAATGATTTGCGAAACCCGTGTTTTTGTTTCAGAATTATGATGGGATAGTCATGCTGTGCCACTGGTTACTCGTTTGCGTACTTGGTTTTTGAGATTTCACCAATCCAATTTTGAGTTATGGCTCAAATTTGTTTATAGCCGGTATCAAGTTACTCGTTTGCGCTTGGCTGACAGTATTAGCATAACAAGCTCACCGACAAACCAGTCGCTTCATGTCGCATTGACGCGCCCAAATATCTAGGTTGTAAAGAAGTCCTAATGATGAACTTTGGGACTTTCTGGGTTACGATGCCTCTTGGGACTTCGTTTATTTCGTAAAACGGAAACCTCCGGACGTCATGGAGATCTACATATGAAGATTGGAAAAATAGCACAAGAAACCGACAAAAGTTTGTCAATTAATATAGGGTATCTAGTTACGTAAGCAAGTCGCTCTGAGACTTTATGATTTGCCCTAATTTTAGAAGTTACGCCTAAAATTCATTGGGAGGAGGTTTCGTGGCCGAAATTCGAGTAGGGAATAATTACGTTTGGTTGCGCCAATGGTGACACAAAAGAATTTATTCTATCGTAGATAAAGAGGCATTGCAATCTAATTATGACCTTCGCAGATTTGCAACGCAAACCAACTTTTTACCCAAAAACCGAAGAGATATTTGCGTACTTGGCATACAGTTTGAATCAAAATAAGTGCACCTAGTAAATTCATTCACGAAAGCTGCGCAAAGTGAAGTATATCACGGAAACCAAAAAGCAAAAAGTTACACAATGAGTGGTTTATGGGAATCTCTTAAGTTTTCCTTCATAAAATCACGTACTCTGCATCCCATTAACCAAGAACTGTTTGAAATTGAAAATATCTTCATCCTTGATTAAGCGAGATTTGACCATGTACAACACTGAATTAGACTTGGTATTCCACGGTGTGATAGCCGGCGAATGTGTTGTCAACGGTTTGCAACCAACAAGGAAGTCTGCACCCAACTGAATGCCTGAAACGGCTTCTAGGAGACAAACCAAAAAGTGAAATGACATGAAATTTTACCAAGATATCATGAAAAAGGTCAAATAAATAATGGCATCTAGCAGTGACAAAGTATTAATTCTTGGTATTGAACACAGTTCGTAAATTTCCCTGGGCTAAAAACGATACTAAATTTAAATTCACGTGGTTCGTACACATCGTCCGAAACCGGTATTCCATTTCAAACGAGTGTGAACTGAACATATCAGAGCTTCCCAGGAGAATATCGTACAAATAGTAACACGCCGTCATTTTTTAAAATACTTTGCACTTATTCTAAAAGTTCTCGTAAATCTCATTTACATCCATGTCTTTCAGCGTTTTAACTTGCTTCACAAAGTTTCCAATGAAGAGAACAAAAGTACGACAGACTTTGGTGCATCAAACCCGTTCAAAAGTATTACCATCCAATTTCGGTCGCAGAAAGGCTGGTTTCAGCTGGCTCTGCGTGATCGCGGTGCCTGCATTCTGGTTGATCACTTGACTGTTTTTCATTTAGCCTGCGCATTGACACAGGTGAGTTCAAAACATGAATTCTTGGTTTTGGGTACTTTTTGGTCACAAACCAAAGGGACATGGCTAGCGAATAATAATAATCGGTGGGTGCAAAAAATGCTGATTTTCATTTGTGTAAGAGGAAGTAAACTCCCCATCGCACCTAGTAACATGTACCAAGACTAGCCATGTCCTAACTTTTATTCCACTTTATCGAGCTTTGCCAATTACCCTGCTGGTTTTGGGTCTGAGCCCATATTTCAACTGTGACTACTGGAGACTCTTTCTGTCTCTTTCCTAACCTTGGTGGGTTAAACCATGTAGATGGTCCACACTGGACGTCTTTTCACCAAAAATGTTCAACTCTTTTATTGTTGCTCCGAAGTCTTGTGTTTTATACTATAACACCAAAACGTCTTCACTCTCGTGCACTCTAGACGGCTAGCAGACTGCGACGTTTGTTGACGGAAAAGCGCTTTTCATATTGGTTGTATTCTACAGCCAAACAGACATGACTTCCTTCAATCTTGTCTTGAAGCTTTCAGAATTTTTTTAGCATTATCTTTATCTTCTCAGGGAACACTTTAATGGGGTGTTAAAGAGGGAATTATCTACGGTAGTCGACCACTAACGAATGTACTTATTTTGTCTGCGGCTATTCAGACAGTTGACAATACTTGGTTTACTTCACACTTTTCAAGCTAAAAAATTCAGCTAACGGGCTATTGTTCACCTAACTAAAATGAAACCGGATAATTTTAACTCAAAATGTAAAATGGGTCAAAATCCCTCTATCAGCTTATAAACCAAAGCATTAGGCTTGAATTAGAACACTCTTACCACTGAGACCCTAAACAAAGGAACTACTGCAGCTCATCCTGTCCACTCTGCTATCAGAGTGAACATTCGAAGGATATTTGGGGCGCTTAATTTTCCTCGAGCAATTTGTCCTAGTTCGCATACCCGTACAGGGTGAGCGCGGCGGTAAACCTGTTGAGGCGTCAGACTCACTATTTTTTGTTCAGGCACCAAGGTTGTTTCGTCGTCTGAATTAGCATTTTCCCGATAACACATCCAATGTGAGACCTCTTTTACTTCAACTAGAACCTTGATCAGACAACTTCGGTGTGAGTTAACCGCTAGTGAAGAAACCTATGATCAATATAAAGAGCAAAATGATACAGAAAGTTGCTGTTTACATAACAACAACATTTAACTATGGGCACCACTTGCAAGATATAATTTCGTCCGTGAAATTTTTTCCGAGTGCCTTCCGCTAAATACATGCTATTTTGAAAGGAATTTTCAAGGTTTTGTGGATTTCCCTCAGCAACTATACACACAGTAAACAAACGGGATTGGAGTGACTTATTTCTACTTTGGTGCGCACGAGGACAGTAGTCGTCAACTGGCTTGATGAAGCCTTAAATAAGTGCTGACCTAAATTTTTTTCCAGACAACCCGAACGTAGTTTTTTTCCGGGTAACTGGAGTCAAATAAAATAACTACTAAGGTGTATGTACGCCTCTAAAAATGAATCATCACTGCAGCCAGTCCTTTATTGTGTTCTTATTTCATTTTTGTCAGTCATTTATTTTGCTAATTAATTTAATACCAATAAAATTTCAAGAACGCTATGAGGGGCACATCACCGGCACTGCATCATTAATCTAGCCAATGATCAGCCCGCCCGAACCGTTGGAGATTTTGACAGAAAGTGGCCAGGTTATTTGTTAAAATAACCGTCGGGAGGTCGCCTGTTTGAGGCCTATGTGAAGTGTCCATAGCAGATGATTCCAGAGAAGAATGGAACAGCTGTACGGTGCTCTTCGGCTTCTGAGCATGGACTGAATTCACTAACAGGAAAAAATCCCACTACATAATGTCTTATCTGTTAGCATTCTGATTTAACGTGTGACATATTCACCCAACCCATCCACTCCACTCAGTAGAACAAGGAACGGTTTCTTAATATTTGGTTTATCTGCCTTCAGCTGTTCTGGCTTTGTGTTTTTTCACAGTGCATTCACTATCACTCATTACCGACTGCGCCATTACTGTAGATTTTCAGGGTGCATTAGATTTTGGTTTTCTTCTCAAACGTTTAAAAACCCTAATCGCTGATACAAACTCATCCAGGTTTGTTTTTGGTAAACCATGGTCCAAGACGACATTTCATTGTTTAGTGTAGATTTCACATCCAGGAATTGGAAGTGTTAGCCATTTCCCCTTCAGTTTTTTTTACTTCAGTCACGCGTCCGTTTATTTGCTCCATTGGAGTTTCGCGTTTGTTTTGTCAGTTTTTCGACTGTGCGCTTGGAAGTCAGTTGAGATGCATTGAAAACGCTTAAGTATGTTTCAACCAGATTGTTGCTTGCAATAAAAACTGATACTTTCTTGCACTGACACGTATCTTAAACAAAAAGGAATAATTTTTGCAGGCAATATATTTTACCAGTTTTAAAACCAGTTAGAAATTCACTCCTCAGCCTGAGTGAAACGAATTCGGTTTCAAAAAACTAGAGATGTTATTTGAGGTGTTTTTCAATGAATATTTAACATGTACGATTCAACAAGGAAGTTTTGCTCAGCATCGTAAGAAACAAAAGCCTTCAGGTCGAATTAACTTGATCAATGTGGAGGCACTAAGATGATTTAACACACCTCAGGTTTTTGTAGTTAATGGTAGTGGGTGAAAGTTAAAATATACCTTGCAGATTATTCAGATAAGTTCGCCAAACATCCCTAAAAGTTTACGATCTATTTGAAGATATTTTCTGCTCAAGATGCAAAATGTTAATCCTGTGAAAACATTGTTCTGAACGGGAACGAAAAGCAGTTGTTAGGAACCAGGTAACCAACACAGTCCTTGACGTCCAGGCTTGCACCATGGTCAGCTTAGAAGGGTTTATATCTGTGAATGCATACAAGATTCACATCTAGTTGGTTCATTGAGGCTCGAATATCATAAGAATCACAAAGTTTACAGGACTCGAGGTCACGACACTTTATACTATTAACATGAGCAATGAAAATGAAAGCGCTGTAACATGCACTCTGAGTTTAACTGCAATGCCACGAGAAGGGAGCACGGGGGCTGGGATACTTCCTAGACACGAGGTGTCGAGATACGAAGGTCAGATTCGAACTATGGACCTTCCGGTCAGCGATATCACGCGCTATTCACCGAGTTATCTCACCTCTAAAATGAAAATGCAGTCGAGATCGTTGCTCTGGTTTCAGCTTCGATCTAGTATTATGAAAGTGGACCAGTATTTCCCTTGCTGTACGCAGCTTATAACAAAGTCCAACGATGTACACTCATTTAGCCCAGTATAAACCTTTCTTCTGCCGACAGCAACAATAATGGAAACGGCAGAGTCACGTTTTAGACTAATATCGCTCCCAGGTTTTCAGGTCACTCCCGTAACTCAGAGCGTCTACTATTTGCAGGTTGATAATGTCCAATTGATAGCAACCAAGGGAATAGTGCACACCGATTGCATGTAAACAAACAGAACGTTACCGGGAATAGAGTAGAACGTTTCCGATTACCCTTTATCCAAGTCCTCAAATTGCACCAATCAGTCGTCGTAAATAAAGTAGGGGAAAAGACCTATTACCTCACCTCGTACGTCGTCTGAGAAATTGTCACTGGGAGAGTAAGGTAGAACAAAGTCATTCAATGTGAATCCCCGATGTTGGTTGAGCCAAACACACTGCAGATTGGTTGCTCGTTAACCAAAGGTGGGATGCTCTGCTCTAGGATGAGTGAAGGTTCGGAATGTCGGGAAAGTCGTGCGAGCCTTGTTTTTGATTTTGGTTCAGTAGGACAATATGACGTACGGTTAGCTTTGATTTCCAGGCCGAAATCTAAACCATGAACATAAGTACTATATTCGACTGAAAGGATAAGAGTATTCTGACAAAAAGCCTCCTCTGAATAAACCACTGAACCCTACCCAACGTCAGAGAATCCACCACGAATGTTGCAGTTGAAGCTCAGAATTCCCAGTCCAAACTAGTTATTCACAATATATTATACAATATATACATATATATATATATATATATATAAAGGTTATACTGGTTTGCGGTCATTCTTACTGAAGTACTTTTCCAAATTAGCAGCGAGCTGCCATTGACCACAGTGTCTTTGCTAATAATTAAGCTAAGGAACTGCACAGAAAACCAGTCACTTGAACGCATTCTAGCACCAATATACATCCGCTGTTTTATGCCGTTATATTTCTTGCTAAATGCTACAATGGGGTGTTGCTCATGTTAGTTGATTTAAGTAGTACACGCGTTTCTGTTTCCTCTCCACCAGGAGACAAAGACCGACAAAAATTATTTGCATTTGCTTTGGCAGTGGATTTTTATATTTATTCTAGCTAAAGCGGAGTTACTTTGGAGACCGGGAATTCATTGCCTCACAGTGCAGAGGGCTTTTGCACAGGCAGTCTGTTGGTCAATAGGAAGCATTTGACAAAAGAGTGAATTACGTCTGATTAATACCGCCGAGAACTCAGACACTCTAAAACATTGATCTGCGTAGATCTGTTGGGTCGCTCCGGATTCATTAATGACAATAAGCTAAATTCGAAGGTGTGTAAACAGATAAAAAAGCAGGTTATAATCAAGAGTATTCGAAGGCCAGTCGCACAAGCAAACGAGGGGTTTGAAACGTCATCGATCGGTGATTGTGGTGAGTAAAGGTGCATATGGAAGCCGATAGCCTTTTGTTCTTCATTTAGGAGAAAGAATTTGCAAAGATTTGTGAGTTCTGGTGACAATCGATCAACATGTATTTGGTTCGTTTACCAGTCAACGTACAACCAGAAGGTTCGAGAAAAAAGAAACCTCAAAATACCGTTTTCAATAGGTTTTTTCAACCTAGAATGGTTGCGTTCACAGAGTCTCTGATGCTGGACCCTAATCAGTAGAAAAATTTGGACTGATAGTGTTTACGATAGTTGGTACGATCAACATTATTTGGTTCGTTTACCAGTCAACGTACAACCAGAAGGTTCGAGAAAAAAGAAACCTCAAAATACCGTTTTCAATAGGTTTTTTCAACCTAGAATGGTTGCGTTCACAGAGTCTCTGATGCTGGACCCTAATCAGTAGAAAAATTTGGACTGATAGTGTTTACGATAGTTGGTAATTTTCAATAGATATTTCTTCCTGTCAGTGAAGCTTATCTACATTAGAAAGCTCAAAAGCCATGTGTGGATGCTTCAATCTTTTTGAAGATTCTCAACTGTGCGTAGCTAGTGGAACCACAGTGTTTCGTACCCGTGACATCCCGGGCAGTAATTTGAACACTGAACCTTTTTGCTTAGGACTTCTGATCACTGTTGTGAATAACGTGCGCTTAGACAGGATGAAGCAACATTCATCCTTCAATCACGGAGACCACACCACTTGCTTACATACTGACTGGTTCCTCGAGCGAAGACTTCTCAGGAGTAACTTTCACTTATCTTGTAAAACGTTTTCAGTTTGCGCCATCTGTTGGATTCTTGAATAATTTTAACTGAGATTTCGACCTGTCTGGGTGAGAGCTGATCACTCCTGACCAAACGGCTGTGTCCTACCACTAGTCGCACTAGAAACCCTCTGAGTTTCGTGAGGTGCACAGTGCTGATGATTTCCAAAATGAGTGCACGATGTTTCTCGGATTTTCAGCATATGTTGATTTCAACGACACGACGAAACCTTGATTGAAAAATAAGGTACCGGGTGACGGTATCTTTGTAGTGCCAGCTACGCAATGCACCATCAGCCAGGATAGCTGCGAAATATTGTGTTTTGTATGTTTGTATAAACCTGCCGGTTTAGTTTACAGATGACGGGTATGGGCATGAAAAATCAAGAGTAGAGACACATCAGATAAGCCAGAGAGGAACTGTGTCATGGCAACAGCAGTGAACACCATTCACTGCATGAAAGGGCATGTACGGATTGTTTTTGATAAATTTGATATGTGAGACAGTTAAACGTAGATGAGTTGGTGAATACCAGAATCATGAAGTACATTTTCTTGGATACATTGCCAAGTACTTTGAACTTATTTGTTTTCAGCAAAGCCGATCGTCCCCTGTAGTGAATTCTTACCACGAGAGGAGAGGATAACGGCAACTCTACCTCATCAGTTGTTGAGGGTTTTACAAATGTATGGGTATAAGGTGATCAGATGAGAATGAACTACTTTTTTCTGATGATTCCAAAAAACGTCACGTTACAGCCATTGAAGTCAAACTATTGGTTTGTTCAGGTCGACCAGCATTCAACATTGCGGCGCGTACCATTACAAAGTAAGGCCGTCTGGCCCCTCAAAAATTTGTAACCTTTGGATGGGTATTTCGCGCGTAATACTGAAACTGTTTTACCGATTCAAAGCTCAAAGAATTGAACTCAAGTTTGACGTAAAACAAAACTACCCAATAAAAAACGGCTGTGAAAAAGTGCTTTGAGTCAAAATTAGTTGTTTTAATCTTTTCACAGCTCTTTCGCCAAATGTCACTGAACACGGCGCCCCCAGTTTCAACATAGTGTCCAGTTATTATATATTTCTTCATAGGTTCAATAATCTTCATGATCCTTAGGGCAAACCACTTATGAGTAGCTCACAGGATGAGTAAATTCACCCTATGAATGAAACTTGTATCTGAGAATTTGTCACTCGATGAGTCAGCCAATATGTGACCAAGTGATGTGGATTCTGTCGGTGAAGTATGGGTAACGCTTCATTCTAAATGCGACTTAATCATATTGTTGACCAGCCACTCGTGCCCGAAGAGCCAAGTGTTCGAACCACTATCCGGGAGGGCAGGGTTGAAAACTCCCTTGAGCTTCGCGGAGATCAGCACCGTTGAGAATTCTTAATTAGAATACATCTGTACGGTGATTTTTGGCTTATCAGCATAAATTGGCCCCAGTTGCACAATGAAGGTTCCTTTGTAAATTTAGGGCAAAATGTTTAATCCCAATTGGTCATAGAAACACGCGCGGGACACACTTCGGAAGTTCGTTTTGTTAAGGGCCAGTGCATTGAAGGTGCCGCTTTGAAGAACTTGAGTGCAGGATTTGTGGAAAGTAGTGGTGCACAGTGCTTGCCCAACGGTAAATGGCGCTTCAAGATGGAAACCGAGTGCATTTGTCAGAAGGGCTATGAATTTCTAATTGGAATTGGAACTTGTCAAAGTAAGTCAACACGTTTTAGAAATAATTCTTTCGGTAATTAGAACTCACCGTACTTGTTCTTTGGGACACTCCGATATTAGATAATTTATTGTTCTGTTCCAAAGCCACCTAGGTAATGAGGTTGTGAATTTTTTGAACTTTTTGAAAAAAATATCACACAGATCTTGCTAAGTAACACCCTTTTATAACTATCACTCGTGCAGGGGAAACGGNGGAAACGCAAACTCTCGAATGTTTTGGACATCCTGTGATATTGCTTATGCTGCATTTATCCAAGATACACAGCCGTGCACGGACGAATGCAGTGGGGTGTAGCAGGACGCGAAATTCTGATACAGAGGCAATGATTGTTCTGTTGTATTAAGTTAGATAAATTTTGTGCCTATATTAACTTCGGGGATTCCGTGGTAAACAATTACTGACATTTATTTCACTAACAAACTGCTACAGTATGTATCTCGTGCGCATCACACCCTGCCGAATGAGACGAAGAGAAGAGACGTAATTCGTCCGGACCGGTCGGTGCTGCTACAATTTTCCCTGATGCAGTATGCCAGAAAGGGTTGATTTGCTGGCCTGGCTACGGTGAAACTCTGAATCAGTTCTGGTACTAAGGGCGACATAACCGATCCTTGGCAGTCCAAGCTTCCCAACATCCATTTAAGCTTTCCTGTTTCAAAGGTACAGGTTTTCATTTATTGACCTTACCACTGTGTAACTGGCAGTAGAAATGATGTGCACAAAAGCTCCGGCACTACCCCTAATCGGGAACTAAACACTTATTCTCACAACGGAAACAATCACTGCAAATCCCGTCTGCTAAAAATAAGGGGCACCAAGCTGCTGCCACACCATGGTGAATTCATCCGTAACTCTCCACCTCGGTCCGACCTGTTATCGCATTATCAGGTTAAGAGCGTGACAACCATTCCAACGCTTTACCCTGACCTTGTGGGATTTTAGGTTGTTCCCTAGACGAGTTTTACCAGGAGGAGCTGGTGCGCCTCTCTAACATGTTCTCCTAGAATACGCTGGTCTCTTCAACCAAGACGGTACTTTAGTCAAAAGTAATGTACTCATCGTCTTGGTGCTCCATCACCCAAAGGACTTTGCTTTTCCCATTCCAGAGGTTTTCTTTATATCAAACGTAAAAAGCACATGCAAGAATTTCTTATAGATGACCTTTCATGGGAAAAGTATACCCAGGGTTACAATCTCTGTGAAGGAAACACAACAATTAACGTGGTAAGCTGACAAGAGTCACCTAGAATACGATAAATTCAAAGGACAAAACGCTTATTAGATTTTCACCGTTGACAGTTGAAAGCATCTACGTGCCCACAATCTTGAGGAGGACGTTGGCGAAAATCTTGGGTGTACCAAATGTAGGGTCTTGATGAAAACCTCAAGAGGATGTCATGTGTGGATTGATTGTGTACAGCGCTCTTTCTGCTGTACTGTGGCCTTCACAACGAGTTCAACCGCTCTACTGCTCATTAAGGTCGTACGGGATATAGATTGATTCCAGCAATCTGTTGAACCACGTCGAGTTACGCGAAAAAACCCCAAAAGCCAATTCTTTCAATTGGAGGTTTATCTACAAATGCGGTACTATAAGTACAATAATAAAATGATAAAGCTTTACAAACCTCAAATGGTGGGACTATGCCGGCTTCTATACACTGGTTTAGGAACTGCTAATTCCTAACGGGTCTCAAAGTCCACGCCGACTCGGAGCCACG